CCTAAAGGTGAGTGAGCGTAGCGAACAAACTTCCACCAGGACGTGATTGAGCCATGCGAACGAGATAATCTTGAAAATTGAGAAGTTAAACGGGGCAAAGCCCGCGGGTTACAGCTAGTTTCAATATAAACAAGGACAGAATGATGTCATGGTTATATAATGTAGGAATGTAGAGGGGCTAATCATATGGCAGTTCAGATGGTATTTTGGGATTGGCATTCCCAAGAATCTGAGTCATAAGGGGTGATGAGGGTGTGTTGGCTCTGGTTTGTTATTTTGCCAAATAACATTTAATAAGTAAGAAAGCTACTACGTTTTTGTGAATTTTGAAAATATATAGGCTAACTATTATGATTGTAATAATTTCCGATTTTACTTAGCTGTTTACAGTTACCCTAAGTTAATAATTTGTAAATATAACAGAAAAAAAACGTAACATTCTCGGAAGTTTGGAACTGCTTCAGTAGGCCTAATACACTACTTTCTGATAAGAATAACATTCCAAAGTATTAAATATTTGCGAATTTTGAAAATAGATATAATTATAAAGGGTAATAATTACCGATTGTTAGCTGTTTACAGTTCATAATGTGTATATATAACACTAAAAACGTAAGGTTCGGCGGTTCGGAACTGCTTCAGTAGGCCTATGAAAACCATTTATCTCCTAATAAAATTGTTTCAAAGCATACATTTTCGTAATTTTTGGAAAATTTATAATTTTAACTTGTTATAATTATGTATTTTATTGCCATTTAACTTACAATTAATTTATAACTAAAATTATCCTACAAAAAATGTAACAACGCTCGGTAGTTTAAAACTAGCCTACTTCAGTGGGCCTAAAAAGACCATTTTCTGCTAAAAATATTCTTTTAAAGTACTCTACTTTTATAAAATTTGGCAAATATATGATTTTATTTATAACTAATATGGTTTATATAGGTATTTGCAATTAATAATAATTCTAAATCAGTAAATATATCATGAAAAACGTAACGATCCGAAATTAGGAAGTACCGCTGCCTAATTCCGAACATGCGTTCGGAACTTAGGCTTAGTGTACATTTCGCCATCCTAATTCCGAACGGCTAGAAAATTAATTTTAAAATAGTTTCTGGGTCTTTATTATGGCTTAAAATGACAGAAAAATATTTAAATTTGCATATTAACAACTGTACTTTATTACAAATTGGCCGGTATAGTTATTTAAAGCCTAAGAATCTCAACCACTTTCCTAAGGAAACAGACAAGAGATTTTAGAAATTTGCAAAAACTGTGTACAGCATTACCAATCACGGCTTACTGGATCTAGTGGCCAATGACGATCTACAAACCCATTTGTCTGCAGACAGATTAAAAGCCAACGAATGCTTTAATCTTAAGTAGGTGTTGATCAGATGAAGCATATGCTTATTATTTGAGACAAAACCCAGCGCGTTCGGTATTTGGCAGGTGTTCGGTATTTGGTATGTTTACCTTAAATTTAACTACATTTTTCAATCCAAACACACTAGACATTTTTATGAAAATGTTAACTTTGTTAACCTTAACCATAGACTAAGCAACACAAGAGGACTCCTCATCCCATTGTAAATTTTGAAGCTTGTTTTTTGTATCTAGTTCATACACATCCACACTGATCGCTGGGGTGGACAAAATTTTGTTTCTATTATTTTAGGGTTATTTTCATGATTTGTGCTTTACTATTTGGTTATATAACTAGGAGACCAGTTATTGTTTATGATTATATCGTTTTATTTGGTTAAATGAGGTTTTAAATGACTGAAATAACAAGAAACAAATTGTAAACAAAACACAACCTCTACAGTTGAACGTACAGAACTAACAATAAAATTGGCTTCAGCTGTTCCATAAGGATGACAAAGCTACTAAGGGAGTACATTTCATCTATGCCTCAACTTATATTTTTAAAATTATATTTCAAAGGCAATTAATTAAATCACTTAACTTAATTGCTCCATTACCACACCTTAACACCCAACAGATATGTGCTCTGAAATATACGCATTGGGAGGTAGATGGTCGTTTTGTGATTGTTAATTAGCTTGAAAGTTAAGGCCTACTTTTCTCTCGCGGACTACAGGATATGGGGAAGAGGTTGGTCCGGGGAATGACCTTGACTCCAATAACACATAGACACACATATAGATAGACACCATAGATGCGAACAAAAGGGATTCTTAAATAGAAACAATCCAAATATCGTAACATTCTTCAAGTTCTGTGGTCACTGCTCGAACCTAATCACCTAAAATTGGGCCAGGTCCAAATTCACCAACATTTTTGGGATCGTTTCTAATGTCCAAATTCACCAACTTTCTACCTTTAGCAGGTACGATATTTCTCCCGGCGGGCGGGGAAGGAATTCCCTCCGAATAGTTTGCCATCGCCTGCTCCGTCTCGTCTCGGCGAGAGTGTACTGTAACCTAACCTAACCTAATTTAACCTAACCTAACCTAACCAAACCTAACCAAACCTAACCTAACCTAACCTAACCTAACCTAAAGCTGCCTGAAACAATCACAGCTTAAACAGTACTATTAGGGCTAAGCAGTACACTCTCGCCGAGACGAGACGGAGCAGGCGAGGGCAAACTATTCGGAATTCCTTCCCCGCCCGCCGGGAGAAATATCGTACCTGCTCCAGGTAGAAAGTTGGTGAATTTGGACATTAGAAACGACCCCAAAAATGTTGGTGAATTTGGACGTAGCCATCAGACCCGACCCTCCCCAGTGGTCTGGAGAAAGCTTGTAAAAAAACTATTGTTGCACACGCGCATGACTTGTTGACCTTGGGCTGCTTCAACTTTAATTTTTTCAAATGAACTGTGATGTTTCAAAATCAAAAATAATAACTTGGGACCATACTGCATAACAATAATGGACTGCAATAATTGTTGAATTTAAAATCCATTTTTAACAAACTTATAACTTTTTAACTTTTAAAACTTATCTTGGTATTTTACTTGGGGTAATGAAGTTATGTAGGCTAGTGTAATTCTTGGTTCATCAAGGTTCTACTGAATTATGTTTGGCAGTGAATAAAAGTAGAATGAAATTTATAAATTCAGGGATACACACCTTTTACAGAGTTATAAAGCCTAATTGCTCTATTTAACTTGCCACAACATCAAATCTAGAGCCCAGTTTAGTGTATTAGTAATGTTTTCTAAACTTGGCAAACCCCAAGAATGCCACTTAAGGCCAATAATCTGTTCCAAAAACGTAAGGAAATACAATGTGAAAATAAAATTGAGATAGAAATCCTTTTCTTGTGAGAACCAGGAAACAACATAAAACATAACCTCAAGTAAACAAACCCAAACGTTTTGACATCAGTCCTGCTGAGCTTAAGTGTTGTGTGAAGATTTCGGCTGCTAGTGTACTTCATTCAAGCAACCAACTTTTGAAAATAGATGTTGTGAATTGTGATTTTCAAGAGAGAAAAACTGTGGACGTGGCTAATTTGAAATTTTATGATTCAAAATCGCCATTTATGTTTATTTACCCAGCTTTACAGTGTTTTATATGTTAAAAATGCATATGCAGCTTATTATTAACCGCGCTGAACTATCCGAATCCGAAAATATCCGAATCCGAACCACCCAATATCCGATCCGATCCGAACCGAGCCTCAACTATCCGATCCGAATCCGATCCGAAATGAAATTTCACTATCCGCACACCTCTATGAAATAGGCAAGTAAAGCAGCTCACTGACATTTCCAGCAATACAGGTTCTTCTAATATATGATTGAAAATAAATATTTATTCACCTAAAATTCATATTTATGTTATCTATATGTTAATAGACAATCATGTTTCTTTAAAACTTTTTTTTTAGATCGTGTGCATCGCAGGGAAAATCTACACATATCATTAGAAAGATAGTTTTCTTCTTTAGGAGCGAAAGTAGCTCTTTTTGGTACTCAATTGTGTTTTACAAGCAAGGCGCAGCCGAGCTTGGAAATACGATTAAGTACCAAAAAGACACTTTTGCTCTGTGTGATGAACAACTATTTTCATCGTACTGTGGAAGTAAGCTTCTTACTTACTTACCTACTGCTGTGGCCACTGGTACCCTAGATGGTACTTGGCCTCCCCAACACACTGCCTCCATAGGTCTCTGCTTCTTGCATCTTCCTTCCTTCTCCCTAGCTTCCTCAGGTCTTTCTCCACTTGGTCGAACCATCTAAGTTTCGGTCTTCCAAGGGGTCTTCTACCTTCTGGGTTATTCCTCAAGATGTTCTTTGATAGGGAGTTGTCATCTTTTCTTAGAATATGCCCTGCCCATCTCAGTCTTCTGCTCCGTACCTCAGCGACAATATCCGGATCCTTAAATAATTCTCTAAGTTCCCAATTATGTCTCGATCTCCATTGTCCATCCTCAAAAATCGGTCCGTACACTTTCCTCAAAATCTTGTTCTCAAATACAATAGCTTTCCTTTCTGATTTCTTGCTTAAGATCCAATTTTCTGAACCATACAGGAGAACTGGTCTGATGATTGTCTTATAAATCCTGAGTTTGGTGGTGTGGGATATTATTTTTGAAGTCAGTAACTTGTGACAGGCCGAAAAACTTTTTTGTGCTAGGTTTAATCTATTTTGAATTTCTAGCTCTTCATCATTATCATTGGTGAGGATGACTCCCAAATACTTGAAATTTGTTACTTTTTTAAATTTATACTTTTCAATATTTATAAAATACTTGAGGTTATAAAAATCGTCATAAATGTTTACATTACTGTTATTTACAAATATAACTTTAAATATTGTGTGATTAGTAGCGTTTCCATAATACAATGATACAATTTTGAGGTTAGCGAACCAAAAAATTTACCATATGTTTTTTCTATTCCCTATTTGAAGATACCTGAAAACAATGATTTTGCTGACGATTTAGAGAACTAAAAACACCTGCTTTCCAGACAATATGATGAAAATTGTATTTATTTAATATTTAAATTTTTCACTCACCTGATCGTCTTTGGATTGTAGCCTTGAGAAATGTCTTAAAACCTCAACATTCAAGTTGTTGTAATTGAGCTTGGGAGCCAAATGGATCACAGACTGTAAAACACAATATCAACTATGTTTAGGACAGTTAACACAATTTGACTCATACACAACTAGGAAATCCAATCCCGGACAATATTTTGAGTCCCGGGATTACGGGATTGACGCAACTGGACTATTACTGCTATTTGAGTAAATGAATGTATAATTTTTTACATATTAACAGTAATTATAGTCCTTAAAACAGTATTAATAAATTAATGACATATTGAATTAACAGTAAAATAAATATTGATGTTAAATAAATAATATTGAATAAAGGAAGAATTAAAAAGATTACGATATGAAAATATTACGTTATTGAAAATATAACGATAATGTCATTGGTCTCATCATATACTACTGAAACAAAACGGACATCAGGTAATACAGTAGAGTCCCGCAAACTCGGCGTAATGTGGACTGAAAGGGTGCCGAGTTTGTGAAATGCCGGGTTATCGGGAACTAGGCTTAACAATACAGTTTTGAAGCTTTTCAACCGCCTTTTTTATTTATATTTATATTACAAGTCAGTATTAAGTCATCAGATATAGTGAAACAAGTCCTTGGTGCCTTAGGAAATAACAAAATGTATACTGTACATACATATTTAACTAAAAAATCACAAATTTTCTGAGCCAGGTGATGGCTGAGTTATCCAGACTGCCGGGTTATCGAGTGCCGAGTTTGCGGGACTCTACTGTAAATAAATTCATTCAACAATATACAGTACTACAATATAATTTTAATTTATTTATATTAACGAAAATAATCTTACAAAAATGTTAGTGATCTTTCAATAAAGCAAGATTTAAAAGACAGCCTTTCAAAAATTAGTATGTATTTTACTTGGTAAAATAATAATAGAGTAGACCCCCCTCTTAACCGACCTCGTATTAACTGACAATTGGATTATCCGCCTTCGATCGTAAATTAATACAGTTTGTTTTAACCGACCTTGCTTTTGAGAGCAGATCGGTTTAACCGCCACTTTCTAAGAATTTTCGGCATTTCCGCTCCCACGCTGGGCGATGAGAACTGAACCATACGCTTATCTCCACAGGATATGACTAAGAATAAGTTATTTTGTATTGATCACAAAAAATATAGCATATTGTCAGTTTGTCATCATCGTTTGTAGTGCGAGAACATCTGATCTGATTTGTTATCTGTGCGGCAAATTTATAACATCGTAAAGTGCGTTACAATTTTGAGAACTGATTATCTTATCGCTGGAGTAAACAAACAACACAACTTGTAGAGAAGGCAGGTAAGGGGGGTTAACAACTCCAACTTCAAGATAGTTTTTGTGCCTCGAGCCTCCAGTGAGAGAGGCTAATAAACATCCTTGTCTTGTAACAAAATTGTTGCTTGTATCTTTAATTTCGACAAAAGGTTCCTTACTGTATTACGATGGATTTGGAAAGCATCAATTAATACATTACAGTACTAAAAATAGGAATTTTTATTGACTCTTGTCTAGTAGTATAATATATTCCACTGAAAGAAGGCCTATTTGACTTAACCGTGTTTTGTGTTTATTTGTGACTTATACCAATACGAAAAAGGAGATAAGAGTAGTTTATTTTATAAATAATGCAAGTATGAATTCAAAATAATGATTATATAATTCCAAATGAATAGCACTTCATTATGTTATGATTTTAGGGATTGTCCGTTTTAACCGACCTTTTGAGTTATCCGACCTAGGTCCGGTCCCATTAGGATCGGTTAAGCCCCACCCCTAGGCCTTGGCCATTAGGTTATTAGGGTCTACTGTAGAATAAAACGAAACCACGCTTATAATAAGAAAAACAAAACTAATAAGTTTGACTATAGGAAATTACAATGATCATAATAAACATTGTAAACAAAAGAAATAACTGTTGCAAAATATAAAAAAAAAACTCAAAACGATTTGTATTATATTTTTTGTCAAACAAAGATATATATATAACTTGCCGAACGCAATGAAGGAAGTGAGCGTTGTGTTCATCCCTCAACAAAAACAGAACATTGGGGAGTTAATTGCGGGGTTACGAGATGATACTGCCAGATTACTACAAGATCTTACAAAAATTCATGTAACCAATAAAAACGCAACTGTTTTTAATAAGTTGATAAAAATGAAGTTTCGTTTAAATGTAAATAATAAATAAAGTTTTTAATAATGTTGAGATTGTAGCACAACGGATTGAGTTATCAAATAATTAAATAACTTACGTCATCAATCCATAAATTGCTGTGGAGTACGCGTTTCAACCATCAGGTCATCCTCAGCTCCATGTGTCTGTTAGATACTCAAAGAAAACGGAACATATTATCGGGAACACATTCAAAAAACAAAATGTCACCGTATCTTTTAAATCAGAGAACAATTTACAGAGATTATTGGGGAATGCAAATAAATCCATTGGAGAGAATAAATACAAGAATTCAGGTGTATACAGGCTCAATTGTGATAACTGTGACGCATTTTATATCGGACAAACAGGCAGAACTTTTGATTTAAGATTTAAAGAACACGTCAAAGAAGTAGTAAATAATGGGACAGGAACGGGAGCAAAACAGAGTACAAAATCAAAATATGCGGAACACTTAAATATAGAGGGGCATAAATACACAAATATAAGCAATAATTTAGAAATTATAGCAAAGGTAAAAAAGGGACAGCGGCTAGACAGATTAGAAGAAATGAATATATACAAGGGTTTTAAGCAAAATCAAAACATATTAAACGAAAAAATACATTCTGATTCGAATCCAGTGTATGACACCATTATTAGGCTGATGGACAATAAAAGAATGATAACCAGCTGAAGATGTCGTCATGGTCCAAAGTTCAGTGTAGGATACCGACCACCAAGTCAGTGTAGCCGCAAACCTGAGCCCGTCCAGCCGTGCGCACGGTGTTATCACAGTATTTGTTACCTAAATGTTTCGTACGTGTCGTGTTTGTGTGATAAATGTAAAATATGTTTGGACTATTTATTTAATATATCGACGCTGTTGCTATAATGCAACATAGAAGCAAATTCAACCTAGTGACAGTGGAGCTGAGGATGACCTGATGGTTGAAACGCGTACTCCACAGCAATTTATGGATTGATGACGTAAGTTATTTAAATAAAGTTTTGTTTGAAAGTAATAATTGAAAACAACTTAAACAATTCACTCACTTCATTTCAGTTCTTTATTTTCATTGTAATTCTTGTAGTAGTTGTTTTGGTTCTTGATAACATATGTTTCTAATTTCTTCTTTGTGTTTGTATACAGCACATTATGAAAGTGTATTGGGGTTGATTATACAGGGTTAGTAAAAAGTCTGGAGACCCCCTGTTAATTTTTTAACGGCCCATACTAGAAAAACTTAACTCGGCACACCTTCATGGCATGTTATGAAGTACATTTGGGCATAACCGCCACTTGGTGTACATCCCCAAAATGGGGGATTTTGGGGGAAACTCAAAGATTTCAAACGGTAAGACCCATCGAGTGACCCCTCATTTTGAAGGTCCTGGTAAAAGAAAAGCAAGACGGAAACTAGAGGTCGCTATCTCAATATAGTAAAAAATGGCAGCCAATTGAAATTCTCAGAAGTTTAATTTTACTTACAGCTTTCCAAACCTAGAGACCCCTTGTAAATTTTTTAACGGCTCACACTACGAAAACTAAACTCTACACACCTTTATGGCATGTTATGAAGTACCTTTTGAGCCTAATTGCAACTTGGTTCCCAAATCCAAAACGGGGGATTTTGGAGGATACCTTAATATTTTAAATGTTAAGATCCATCGAGTGACTCCTCATTTTGAAGGTCGTGATAAAAGAAAACTAACAACGCAAAGTAGAGGTCTCTATCTTAACACATTTAAAAAAGGCAGAATTAATCATAATTAATTTGTAATTTTATATTCAATTAACTTGTGACCGTGAGTCATACCGACGATCATGCCGTGACCGTGAGTCATACCGACGATCATGCCGTGACCGTGAGTCATACCGACGATCATGCCATGACCGTGAGTCATACCGACGATCATGCCGTGACCGTGAGTCATACCGACGATCATGCCGTGACCGCGGAGTCATACCGACGATCACGCCGTGACCGTGAGTCATACCGACGATCATGCCGTGACCGCGGAGTCATACCGACGATCATGCCGTGACCGCGGAGTCATACCGACGATCACGCCGTGACCGTGAGTCATACCGACGATCATGCCGTGACCGCGGAGTCATACCGACGATCATGCCGTGACCGCGGACCGTGAGTCATTTCAACCGCGAGTCACAAGTTTCTATACCTGTAAACTTTTACCCATTTTTTGGTTTTTATAGATCAGTGCCACAAATGGTAAAAATTGATTGAACATCGCACACGGCAAGGTGTTGGTGTTCAGCATCAATCGACCTCCCAACTTCGACCATAACATTGGGGCCATCTCTTACAATTGCCACAATATCTTTTTCCAAGTTGAGGCAGTGCAGAGCAAGACAATCTTTTAGTTGAGAAATGCACGCTTTAGCAGTAACGGAACCACGAAGCCGAGCAAGACCCAAAGACCACTACTCATTTTGGGAATGAACATTCACATTCAAATATCGTTAATTCGACGTTGAAGTCCACTTGTCAAAAGTAAATTGTTCTCCATCTGCCTTCATTTCTCGAATCTCCTCAGTCACTTCCCTTTTGCTCGAAATGTTCTGGATCACGTTGTTTCGGATAGTTGTTGCCGAGGTTGGCAAACTGGTATTTAACCTTTCGCAAACATAAGCTCTCTTAGGTTCTTCAATTTTATCAATATGTTAAATGGTAAACTATCAAGGGCAGTCATTCTTGCAAACATTTACATTTGCAAACATTGCGACAATTTACACGCTAACTCAGTGATGGGAGTGGTTCTGCAATTTTTAATTGTCAATACTAAGCCTACTATTCCTCTTGGTCAAGGTTTGAGGGCGCCACCTCGCTAAAAAGAGGTTTTGGGGCCGAAGCGAGAGTCAAACTTCACTCTAAGTTGTTGGACTTTTAGCTGGTCGTCAGGGGATATTTAAAATTTAATTATACTTAGTTTCAGAATGGCTCTTATACAAAAGAAAACAATCATTCATATTATTTTGAAAGTAATTTGAAGTGCAACTCTTGGGGTGCAAAGAATCAACTTGGCCACCAAGCCATCCATCATTAATTGGTGGGCCTCTCTCATCAAGTTCTGCCTAGACGGTTCTGTCTAAGGCTGTCGCAGACTGGTCAGACAAAGTTTTTTGAGAAAATGTTTTTTCAAAAGAGGTTTTGTCGGAAAACAAAAATGTCGCATCAGTGTGCGATAGTCTCAGACAAAAGAGAAAAACCTGGAGGGAAAACAAATTCGGTCCGTCCCTCATAGACCAGTGTAGTGAAAACGCAGTATGTGGGGGGTGTTTATAAAAATGGACGAGGAAGTGGAGGTAGCAATCATGCTGTGGAACTTTATACAACTTGCCGAACGCAATGAAGGAAGTGAGCGTTGTGTTCATCCCTCAACAAAAACAGAACATTGGGGAGTTAATTGCGGGGTTACGAGATGATACTGCCAGATTACTAACTCAATCAATGTATCTACAGTAATAACCCTAACAACTACCTACTTCAGAAATGTTTTAAGTCGGCACCGTTATAACTCAATTAGAAACTATTAGGGTGAGGGCTCTATGCAACTGCGAGTGTCAGAGATAGCTTTACAAATCACATAGATAGTTGTCAAATAGAAGTGAGGTCATGTTTAGAACTAGTGTGATTTTTAGGTCTGGGACCAACATGAAGAATAAAAATCGATCACCTTAAGTACAATTAAATTTACATAACATAGACTGTACCTTGACTGTCTGCTCTCGAATGGTTGGATTAGTATCCATAAATCCATTTGCTATTTGAGGAAAGATTTGATCATTCACAGTAGTAGACTGGAGGTGATCTGTAACAAAATACCAGAGTATTACTTTTGATAACAATAAAAATGTAAACCGTACATCGTTTAGTTCGACAAGGGCAAAACCTTAAAAAAACTTTAGCTAGAGACGATGCTTGCCAAAGTCTGAGGGAGAGTTAGGATGAAGTTTTGTTCGTTATTACTTCCATTGAAAATGACAACTCGGAAAAGGCTACCACAAGATGCGAGGCCAGAGGAATTCGCAAAAAGTTGGAAAGATTTGAAACTGCGTTCATGGTCTGTTTTTGGAGTACGATTTTACACAGACTTCATAAGACATGGGAAAAAATACAATCTCCGAAAATGGTTGTTCTGACAGTGGCAGAACTTTATGCCTCACTTGTTGAATTGTGTACATCCCAAGAGATGATTTTGATTATTATGAGTTGCTTGCTCTAAAATTATCCGGAAAGAAAATTGTATGAAAAAGACTTTAAAAGGGCCCACAAAAGAAATAGAAAACTTATTGGAAGTGCAGAAGAAGTGGATCTTGACGGAAGAGAGTTTTAAAATCAACACTTTTCTGGTCATCATCGATCAATTCATTGTAGAGTTCAAAAGAATATATGAAGCATACAGTGACTACAAGGATGGATTCAATTTCTTAGCAAAATTGTACAATCATCAGGTAAATTAGACGAATCCATTTTAAGAGAAAATGCAAAGAATCTTGTCAAGATTTACAGAAACGATCTTGATGATGATTTTATCGTCGAGTTTAGTCATTTCGAAGCTCACTGTGTGTCTGCAGCTTATAAATTTTAAGACTGTGCTTAGCAAGGAATAGCTAACTACCTGAGGTACCATCCCCTTCAAGACGTTTATCCAAATGTTGACACAGCATTGCAAATTTGCTTGTCGATTCCAGCTACTAATTGCTCGAGTGAAAGGAGTTTTTCTTGCCTAAATAGGAAAAAAATACCTTAGATCAACGATGAGAGAAGAAAAATTTTGCTTTGTCAGTTTTAGCAGCAATAATAGACTAATCAAAAATGAACATCCATGGGGTTGGCTAATTTACGCCAATCCCAACCATTAATGTGTTCTTTCCAATTCATGCTTCGTTTTCCAAATCAATACTCCCTGATATCACCTAAAATTGGGCAAATAGAAAGAAAATGAAAAACTGTTTCAAATTCGCGCAAATTGCACAAACTACAAAAAAAATTGTATTCATTATCCATGGATTGTGATTCAAGTCAACAAGCTCTGATTGGGCATCAATGACAACAGTGATCGTTGTTCATGGTACATGGTGTTTATTATTTGCTTTTTTATTCATAGAAAGCTATAAATGTCATTAAAAAAACAAGTTTCAAACCTCAAGCAAACAAACATGTATGATTTGGATTTTTTTTCCTAAGTCAGTTAACCAAAGACTTTTAAAATGTGCAATATCTAATTTATGCTGTATTTACAAAGTATGTCATTAAAAATTCCTCTACAGTGTGCACCGTTCTCTCCAAAACAATGTTTTATTTGCAATCCACCGATCAAACATTGTAGTAGATTATTAAATTAAGTATAGTATGCTCAATGCTCAGCTTATATGCAATGCTGAGTGTACTATGCTCTGTACAAAGTAAACTCCATGTTGATGGCCCCTGGATTCATAAACAATTATATGTTTGCTGCCTTTTCATGTTAAACCTCTGGAGTGATTCAAATTATGTATTGAAAATAACAACAACAAATAAAGCAAACAAAGACGGACAACAAACTGTTTTTTACACAAAAGATATGGTGTACCAGGGATACCTATCCTGACACATAGATGTTATTCTGAGTTTGTTTAAATACCTGAATTACAATAAGTTGTTTTACATTTGAGCTTTTTAGGGACTTATGTCCTTATAAGCCACTAGTTATTTTTATCCTTTCCCTCTAGCTAGAGTATAATCATTGACTATACACAGAAATATATACACTTTCTGTGTATAGTCAATGGTATAATATAAATTTAGCCCAGTATATTAAGTACAGTATTTAATGTAATATTAAAAAAAAATTCTTCTAGACTTTTTAGAAAATTTACATTGCGTGAGCGTTGATAATAATTTGTATTATTTGATGAATTTTACCAATAAAGTGCTCCAGTTGCTGAAGTAACCTGCTCCGAGTTGCTCGGTCATTTGAAATAAAAAGCTTTACCACACAAGGCACTATTTTCTTCTGGTATTCTGCTTCATTCAGCAACCTACCCAACTGTGAGGACAAAATGCCAAAGATAAAATATTTAGTAACATACAAAACTGGTAGACTAATCAAATTTATGTTAATTTCAATTCAAAATTGTGGCTAATTGTGTAATTGAATCCAACAAAAAAAAAATAAAAGTGACTAGGCCTACTAATGTAATTTATTTGATCTTGATTAATAAACAGATCAGCTTCAGAGGAGGCATAGGTGTAAAATCATTGAACAAACAAAGATGATTTTCAAAAAGCCAAAACAATGAAACCAAATTTCTAATGATTTGATGAAAATCATGGTAAAATGTTGTTTCTGAATGATATTACTTCTTGAATAGGAAATAAGTCAAGCGTTTTATTTTAAGAAGGAAAAAAGTGCAACCATAACATTTCTTAAGCAATTAATAAATGTATCACCTTGAACATAGGAGCCAGCACAGCAGCTCCAGCATCACCGTACTCAAACGCAGTAATCAGCTGAGGCAGTATCTTATGCTGGCAGACATGTGGAGGGAAATGATCCAGATGAGATGTAAGTGCATTAAAAAATCTGTTCTTTTCACTTCTATCTTTTATCTGGATTTCTTCCAGGAAAAGTAAGGCGTCAACCAATTCATTTTTGAAGAATCCCCCGTTTTTCCTGCCACGTGTAATCACGTCAGCTGGGTTGGGGCGGTTGCTTGGATTAGCACCCACCAGTTCACAATATATGCTGCTCACTGCTTTAGGTATCTATGGTAAATGGAAAATAGCAAGCGTAAGTAATATTGTCATGCATGAAAGCTAACCAACTTCAGATATATACAAATATGCAACATAACTAATTAGTGTACAATTAAGCATTTTCCTACATTATTTTACAATTGTTTTTATTCTTACAAGAATTTTATAATATGTAATGTCCTAGTCTGGCAATATAGAAAAATGAACCAGTGTGGCTCTTACTAGCAAATTAGGAAACATCAGTTCACTATCTGAATTTAAAACAAACATAAGATTTACAATGGTAGGGTTTGATGATCTTATGTCATTAGCTTATTGTTTAGTAACCCATTAAGGCCACGTCATGATTATGAGAGTAGCCATAGCCTTCTCTAGTATAGTAAGCTACACAAGGCCGCGGTAAGCAACAACTGGCAACCTTGCATCTGAGTCTTGGTGCGCGATCACCTTACCATTACTATGAATGGAGGAGTCGTGTATCGACTTACTTCAGGCTGTGTGTCTAATAATGTGAGCATTTTATTTATTTTTACTATGGTGTTATGATTTTATTTGGACCTTTAGAATGAGTTAAAAGCAATAAAAATTTTTTTGGAGTATTGGTTTAGGAATAATTGAAGGTCAAAGGCCGGGTTTTTTGCCATAAAGGTACACACAAATCTCAAAAACGGGTAATGCAAAAAATTGAAAAAATATATTATAAACTGTACTAGTGACAACAAAACCATTGACATAATTTAAGAAATGAAAATACAATTTTTTTTTTCTGCACCCACAAATAAAAGATATTTTTATATGAAAATCCCTAACCTTTAATTTTGAAAAGTACCTTAAGATGTAGGGGCCTACATCTAGATGTAGGCCTATCTTAGATGTAGGGGGATGTTTTATGTTTAAACATTTTAGCATATTACTCGTATGTTTACGTTTTATAGCACGCCACGGTGAATCTACTTTTGAAGCAATGTAAAAAGCTCGGAAAACCTGGCACGCACACTAGAACGGTTTAATAGATGCCCACACTCGCGCGCGCCAACCACTCCCCCACGCACCCCTTCGCCTATCGCCCCCCCCCCCCCAAACGCGTACCACCGCGCAATCGGTCAGTAACACCTGCCGTGCCCGATGGTCCTATCCTTCTACCACTCCTTGCTTTCAATGACACCATGTGGCAGTACTGTTACTGTCAGTGTATGTTTTATGATATTTTAAAGTTATTTAATTTAAATTTATCTGATAATTCTTGAAACAATTCAGTTCTTACATATATGTAGATTGTAGAACTATTTGGACTTGTTATTGGCAGGCAGGTGTCATACAGACACTTTGTTTTATTTGAATTAATTTAAATTTATAACAATGCCTTGTAAGAACTATAAGGGTGAAAGAACAAAAATCGCTCGTAAAAAGGTTATTTCGGGTAAAGAAGAGGTACGAAAACAGGAACTAGTTTCGAGTGATAATAATGTTGTTCAGTTGGAAGACTCCGAATAAATAAGGTCCTTCTACAATGCACAAAGAAGTACAAATAACAGTATATTTCATTCAGTGAATATTTTTGCCCCAAGCTCAAGTTTACTATCGAGGCAAAGAGGAGGGTTGAAAAGACACTTTATGCACATGTGAAGAACTACATTTTTTGTTATATTGCACAATTATTTGAACAAACTATGTTACAAAACTAAAATATTTTTCATTTTAGGATAACATCTCAAAACTACTTCTAACTTATTTTCAATTTAATTTGATAATGGGAACAAGTGGCTGTTTAGTAAGTGATGCAATCGTTTTGTCTATTGGTACGACTGCTTGTGCTCAAATTGATCTCAATCGGAGGGTAGTTTTGGATCATACAAACTGACCCGGGAGTCTGGCAGGTAGATAATATGGTTGATTAAAAAATATGATCTGATGTGGGAGAAAGGAAAATTCTCAAGGCATCTACGGGTGAAATAAGTTAAGTAATAAACTTATTATTTCCTTATGCATACACTAATATGATTTAGCCTTTATTTAGTTTATTGTGTGTATTCTATTATGTCAAAATATTCTATAAGTTTCAATATTAAACGGTTTATACAAATGGCAAAAAGTTAAAATAATAATTTTGTATTAAGGTTGCCAATTAATTGTTTTTGTATTCAATGGGAATAGCATTTTGGAATTGAATTAATTTACTTACTTGCATTTTAGTTTACATTCAAAAAGTAAACAGTTTAATGAACAAAGTGTAATCTTATCACCATATACAATCAAACGTATGTTTCGCCCCTGGGGCAAAGCAGTCAACACACACTAAGCTAAGCTTAAATGACATACAATGATTAAAATGACAACAACCCTTCAAAATTCGTTAAAACATAGGCGGAGTTCTAATCAACCAATAGAACCCTAGAGCAATGGGAAATGCGTATAGATGTATTTCCGTAGGTTTATACTAAATAACAATGCATTTTACCTAAGTGAAAGATTTTAAAATATAATACCTATATTAAGGTAAATCAACTAAATTGCTAAAATAAGCTAATAGGCTAAATCATATTAGTATACCAATAAGGAAATACTTAGTCTATTACTCAAACTTATTTTTCCCCTAGTTGCCTTGAGAATTACCCTTTCTCCCTCAATGACTCGCGTATCAGATCATGTGTCAAGCGATCTACCTGCCAAACTCCCGGGTCAGTTTTGGGTGATCCAAAACTACCCTATGATCGCAGGTCAGTTTGTAAGCAGTCCCAGAACTGGGGGTTCAATGGTTCACCAGACCACATTAGCAAGAAAATGGCGGGTTTTCCCAACATTATTTACGACTGTTGTTACCACATTCATTTTTATGCACATCTTAAGAGAAATTGACTTGAGACCCCCGCCGATATATTTATTGGGTGGTAGGTACTTCATTTCGATAGGGAATGCATTGTTGGCCGCCATCTTGGATCCGCCATATTAGATATAAGTAAATATTGTTAAAAATGTAATGATACTGTTGTGACACATCATTAATGGCTAGATTTTCATGCTGATTTTAATGCCGAAATCCCTTTTTAATATCTTTTTTGTTTTAATGATATATTCAAATGAATACTCTCCCCCATACATTTCTTATGGACGTTTCGTATTGTGAACATTTTTAAGATTATTTTTCTTATATCTCCAGTTGTTAATAACCCTTGCAGTTAATTTAATTTTAGCCTTAAAATATTCAGTTATGTAAGTGCATTCATGTGAGCTATTGATCACTAAAAACAGAGTAGTTAGAGACGAGCTACAAACCACAACACAATATTAAATTTAACTTTTTTTAAATCTGATTTTATTAAATGATTTATATCTCGGGTTGTTATAAGTTTTTTCTGGTCTCACATAACTCAGTAAATATTTGGCTTTAATTTTATTTGGACCACTTTAAAATAGGTCATGGACCTTCATTTAACATTAAATAACTTTTATTTTTCAATTTGTCTTTAGTTAATACATATATCCCCAAATGTAAATAACTCCAAAAAATCTTTATAGTCTTAAATGTCAAAGTACATATTTACTTTCATTTTAGCTATGGATTACTTATTGGGAGTTATTTAGAATTAGGGATATGTGTCTTTAACTAAAGACAAATTCCGAAATAATAGTTATTTGTGCAACTAGTGAGAAAAGTGAGCAATTGACTCACTCGAGAGAAATCCTTATTCACGAGCCGTAGGCGAGTGAGGAATTGTTTCTCAAGTGAGGCAATTGTACTTTGAACTCGAGTTGCACATTATACTTTTCCTACAGTTACCATAAAACCATAATTTGTGAAGAAACATAACCTATTTTTGCACAGAAGTGAACTTTTAATATAACATTTAATGTGAAGTGACAAATACAACAGTACAACAGCTGACCAGCTGATTTACAGCCAGTGCTGCCAACGTATTTCGCGCGCATACGACGTTGACTGCATGTTACGCGCTCACTATTTCGTGCCTTCACGTTGCAAATCTGGAGTGAGACAAAGTAATTAGAGTGAGACAATGTTAACATTGTCTCACTGATGAGTGAATTGGCCACTTTGCTTTCTCAAATAAGTGAGAGAACATGTACATTGTTAGGTAACTGTAGGAAAAAATATTGTTATATTAAATGAACATCCATGACTCACTTTAAATTTGTCAGATGTTATTTAGTGATTAATACAATTGAATCTAAACATTTACTGAGTAATTTGAGACCAGAAAGATCTTGCTGACGTATTAACAACTCAAGATATAAATCTTCTAATAAAAACTGATTTCTAAAAGGTTAAATTTAATATTTTGTTGGGGTTCGTAGCTTGTCTCTAATTCTTCCGATTTTAATGGTTGATAGCCCAAATAAAAGCGCTTACATCAGTGAATATTTTAAGGCTAGAACGAAGTGCAAGAGTTAATAGGAACTGGAGATATAAGAAAAATAAGCTTAAAAATGTTCAAGGCACGAAACTTCCTTAGAAATGTATGGGGGAGAGTTTTCGTTTGAATATATCTTTAAAACAAAAAATATATATTTAAAAACGGATTTTGGCATTGAAATCAGCGTGAAAATCTAGTCTTTAATGATGTGTCACAACAGTGTCATTACATTTAAAAGTATTTATACTTAAATATCTAATATGGCGGATCCAAGATGGCTGCCCAAAACGCGTTCCCTACTGAAATGAAGTACCAACCACCCAATATATCAAGTAAATTTCTCAAAAAATTTGCATAAAAAGTGCATGTGGTGACTTCTTTTTAATTTTTCCAAAGTTGGGAAAAGCCCCAATTTTTAATCGTGATTTTAGGGGTTTTCTAGTGCACCGATTTTGGCCAACTTTTAGTACGTCACTCTGCACACCCAACACTACAAAATCTATTCTATATATAATTCAGTTTTAAAAATCTTTGTACAACTAAATCTAGAGTTCTACTGGACCGATTTTATTAACTAATGGGTCGTTGGAAAGCTTAAGTCGTGTAGATTTGCAAATAATTATGAAAGTTTGTTTTTGT